GTCAGCAAGCTACCTGAAGTATCTTACCAAGTTCTTCCCTGGAATAGAGTGAAGCTAGTTTTCAAACCAGATTCATCTACCTATAGAGCCACTATTCAATGTAATGGAAAATAAAAATATTCGATACAGAAATGGGCAAGGGACACCAAAATGCAATTAACAAAGCAAGAATGCCATTGTAAAAAAGAGAGGGCTCAATATCACCATTTATTAATTAACCAATATAAAATGTACATCTAATAACATTTTTATTGAAGTATAGAAAAGAGGTATTTGTACCTGTAGTTTAGTCAATGATTTGTCTTAACTTTTATAAATGGCAATTAGGAATTTTCTATGAAAATGTTTAATACATGTATTATATGATCCACTCATTTATTCTACAGGAAAATTCACTTAAGAACTCAACTATATGTAAAAGGATGGTTAATTTATTGCTTTTATAAGAGTAACACAATAGGAATAAATGAAATGTACATTTAGAACATATTTCTATAGCAATTCCTAAAAGTGAGATAAATGTATGTATTCAGAGTAAAAATGTCTAAAGAAAATACCGCATGTGTGTGTGTGAAGCAAACTTTATAAAGACTATGACTCAAGTTTTATGTAATTTTCTATGTACCTTCATACAGATTTACTTCTATTTACAGGAAAGATTAGATACACCAAATGGTAGCATTTTCTGTAAGTCAGGTTACACTGCCTGAATTTTTAAAGGCTTGATTTTAGGCTAAGGATATAACTCAGTGGTACAGTACTTGCATGGCATATACAAGGCCATGGGCTTGATCTTGAACACTGTCAAACAAAAATGAACGTAAAAAAATTATTCTAAAGAGGGCACAGCGGTACACACTGGTAGACCCAGCTACACGGGGCATTGAAGTAGGAGTATCATTTGAGCCCAGGAGTTCCAGGCCAGGCCAGACAATACATTGAGGCCACATCTTAAAACAAACAAAACAAAATTTAAAATATTAATAAACAAAACTTTTACTATAAAAATGTTTCCAAAAGCTCTAGTCCATTGGTTTTTGCCATAATACAAAAAAATCTTAATTGCATTCATTGCACTCGAGTCTTTTTTTTCTTATTTATATAATCTGATACATACACACATACATACACATATATGCATTGTATGTATGTGTACAATATCACTGTTGTACTACTTAGTTCCCACTCAATTGTGCCTCCTGGTTTCATTCAAATAAATACTAATTTTACTGTGTATCATCAAGGGATAGTCTCATTCAATTAAAAAGTTAGCTCATTTAGACTGAAAAAAAAAATCATCAACTATCCTCAATCTCAAGATTGGTCTTCAAACTGTGTGTGTGTGTGTGTGTGTGTGTGCGCGCGCGCGCGCACGCGTGCACATTAGTATTTTTAAAATATATTATTCTGAAATCTACAAATACTTTGAAGATAAGCTGAAAACACTTTACAGTGAAGCATTAATAAATGCCCAACTGTAAAATTATTTATTGGACAGGATAAAAGGGTTAAGAACCAGACTGCCAATGAGAACCTCTTCACCAAGATCTTCTCCAAAGTGCCAAAATATGTCAAACAAAACCAGAAGAATTTAGTTTTGGTAAGTTCCAAAATACCTCGGTAATTTGGAATTGTAACACAGAATATTTGGGTGTAGCTTTAAAATTTCCTGTATACCTATGTGATTACTTCTACATTTTCATTAAATTTTCCACTTTAGCTTAATAATTTAAAATTTCAAAAGAACAAGTGCAAACAACATATCAATTGCTTAGATTTGTGGGGTGTTGGATTAGCAGAGCAGCTCACAAAGATATTCACCTATATATATACATATATATATATATATTTTTTTTTTTAACCAATATATTTTTTTTAACAGATGCCAGATTTCCCTCAGGACAGGCCTTCAAAGCTGCCCTTCAAGAATATCTTTGGTTGCTTTTTCCTGAGGAATATCATATATTCTAGGGAAAAAAATGCTGCGTATCAGACACTATCAGGTATGTAAGTTTTAGTTGTATCATTCACATGTCTACTTCCTATGCAAAGACGACCACTATTTAGGGTACATCAAAAAATTAAATTCATCTGCATTCAATATTAAAAGGAATCTTAAATATAAAACAGCTCAAAAGAAAAAGGTCCTCACAGAAAAATAGTCCATATTTATATACCAGAAACTGCATGTGTGTAAAATGGCAGTAATCCTTAAACTGATCTACAGATTCAAAGCAATCCCTGTCCAAAAAAAAAAAATTCCAGATGTACAAATTGACAAGTTGACCCTAAAACTCATATGAAAATGTAAGGAACCTCCCAGAAGAGACAGGACAATCTTGGAAAAGAAGAACACAGTTGGAGGACTCACACTTTCCAATTTCAAAACTCACTACACCAAAGCAAAAGTAATTAAGTCAGTATGATACTGGCAAAAGGAAAAACATACAGGTCAATGTAGCAGACAGAAAATCCAAAAATAAATTTTTACACTTATGGCCAATTCAACAGTGATGGTAAGACCACTCAATGAGAAAAAAATCTTTTCATAAAATGGGGTTTGGACAACTGCATATACACATACAAAAGAATGAATTCTGGACCCAGGCCTCACACCATATACAGAAATTATTTCAAAATATATTTTTAAAACTTAGCTGTATGAGCTTAAAAGCATATAATTCACAAAGCAAATCTTTGTGACTTGTATTAAATACATTTTTTAGACATGACAAGTATAAGCAACCAAAGGGAAAAACTGACAAAATAAATACTATCAGAATTTAAAACTTTTGTTCTTGGGCTGGGGATTTAGCTCAGCGGCAAAAGCGCCTGCCTGGCAAGTGCAAGGTCGTGAGTTCGGTTCCCGGTACCGGAGAAAAAACAAAAACAAAAAAAAAACAAAAAAAAAACTTGGTCTTCAAAGGACACCAGCAACATTAATGAAAAAAAAAAAATTTTCAAGAGGGTGAAAATATTTGCAGGTCATGTGATTAAGGAACTGTTGTCCAGAATATACAGTAACCCTCTCTCACCCATGAGGAGCAGTCCCAAGAAGCCCAGTGGATGTCTAAAGCCACACACAGTACTAAACTTGTAACTGACTAGTGGGTGGGTGACATACACCATGGATGTGCTGAAAAAGGAGATGATCTGCGCTCAGAGCAGAATGATACAGGATTTCATCAAGCAACTCAGAACAGTACCCATATTGAAACTTATGAATTCTCTGTTTTAGTAATTCTCCATTAATAATTTCAGATCACAGTTACCCAAAGACCAGTAAAATTACAAAGAAACAGTAAGAGAATATTTTTTTCAAAAAAAATTGCTAATAACTTAACAGTGAAAAAACCTAATTTTATAATTAGCAAAGGATTTGAAGACAAATTTTTCCAAAGAAGATATATAAATGGCAGATAAGCACATAAAAAGATGTTATCATTAGCCATCAGGGAAAATACAAACCACACACCATAAGACAGTGACAAATAAAACAAGTAAAACCATAAAATAAACCATAAGAAAATCCGGGTTTTTTCCTGCAAGAATACAGAGAATATGGAACTCAGACACAACTGGTAGAAATATCAAATGCTTCCATTGCTTTAAAAAACAGTTTAAGAGTCACTGAGAACACTAAAGATAAGAGTTATAGCCCAGCACTCCAAGGTATACTTACATACCAGAGGCAAAAGATAAAAGTAAATTAATAAGAAAGTAATTTAAAATGTTAAAAACAGATAATCTACATAAAATCTTGTACACAAATATTTACAGTAACATTATTTCTAATAGCCAAAAGGTGGAAACCATTCAAAAGAAATGAAGTCCTGATTTATGCCACAACATACAGAGTCCACCAAAAAAAACACACACACACCTCAGAAAAAGAAAAACATGTTTTTTCAGCAGATGGTGTTACCCTCATGCGGGGGGGCCCTAGACAACGTCATATATTACAGAAAACGTACTACACTGCTGGACCTGAGAGAAGACATAAAAAGGCATATGCAGCAATCTCAATGGAACAAGGTTAATTAAGTAGCAGTTTGCCACACTAACAAATATCTGGAAGCCAATGGCCACCACCTTGAGCACCTTTTGTAACTGTACAGGCCTACAGTAACTTGTATTATTACTCTCATGTCTCAATAAATTTAGCACTAAAATATTTATACAAATCTTTCTTTTCCTGAAGTGTGTATACATTCTGCGGCAAACTTTATGTAGTACAACAGCTTAAATACATTATGCAAAATGAAAAAAGTCAGATACAAACAGCCATAACTGTATAGTTTCATTTATGCAAACTGTCCATAACAGGCAAAAGGAATAGAGGCAGAAAAGAGATTAATGGTTGTTGCAGGGAAAGGGGAATGGAAAATGACTACTAGCTATGAGCTGATGAAGATTGTCTGGTATAGCTGGGCGTGTTAGCACATGCCTGTAATCTCAGCACTTGGGAGGCTGAGGCAGGAGGATCATTGAGAGTTCAAGACCAGCCTGGGCTAAAAAGGGAGCTCAAGGCCAGCCTGAACTGCATAGCGAGACCCTGTCTCAAAAAGAAGAAAGAAAGAAAGAAAGAAAGAAAGAAAAGAAAAGAAAAGAAAAGAAAAGAAAGAAAAGAAAGGAAAGAAAGGAAAGAAAGGAAAGAAAGGAAAGAAAGGAAGAAAGGAAGAAAGGAAGAAAGAAAAAGAAAGAAAGAAAAAGAAAGAAAGAAAGAAAGAAAGAAAGAAAGAAAGAAAGAAAGAAAGAAAGAAAGAAAGAAAGAGAAAAAAGAAATGTGAAAATTGTTTGGTATTATATAGTAGTAATGATGTTGCACTACTTCGTAAATACACTAAAAATCACTGAACTGTGGACTCTTTAACGGGGTGAAATTTATATTCTGTGAACTGTATCTAAGCACAGCTGTTAGAAAAATATAAAGAATTTTTAAAAACTTCTACTACAAAGGTATTTTATATGCATCAGATGTCAAAAAAAGTATAACTCACCCTCTCTTCACTTTTGTGAAATCAAATGCAACTTGTCTGTATGAAACTGCTTTTTCATTTAAATATCTACTATACCGCCTAATAAATGTAGACATGTCATATCCTGTAAGAAAAGAAATATAAAAAGTTTTTATGAATGATTAAACTCTCCCTTTACCAACAAAAACCTGTTATTTAATGGCTATATTATCTTGATACCAACTTGACTTAGTGACAAATTAAGTAATAATGATCAAATTCTTCAGAGTTCACATTTTAAATGCCAAGTACATCACACGCAGCTTTTTAAAAACCTTTTCTCTTAGAATTTCACAGAAGCAGAAGTCAATTTTGCTTCTGATCAACATTCCTTTTTCATCAGGAATTAGAACACATTCCCTTACAAAAGTTAGTAACTTCAAAACTCAACTTTAATATCTTATGGAACTACAATCCCATTCTTCAAATCATCAGGCAATTTTTAAAAATTTTATACATGTGAAATCATTAGTTGTATATTATTTACAATTACCATAAGTAATACATACCAACCTTATAAAAAAGTATTACCCAGTAAAATGAAATGACAACATGCAAGATATAAGACAATTCTATGGGTTAAAAAAACCACTCTAAATGAATACATAAATCATTGTAACATTTTTTCATCATAATCATAGAATCTGAATGCTTCAGTGATATAAAACCTCATCAACATTATTTTTAAAAAATATCACAAACTCTGTATTTTAATTATTATCTAGCTCTGATGTGTAAATTTTAGCTTCTCATTTTAAATCATTTTGGTCTAACAAATTTAACTTAACTGATTATCACTGCTACTTTCAAATTATAGTACCACACAACCAAAAAATGTAAGCTGACTGGATTTTAGCATCATTGACAACTCATTTATTCAGGAAAGTATTCACTGAATGACTACTAAAAAAACACCAGTGAACTGATCATCCCTGGAAAAAAAATCAGTAAACAAAAATTTTTTTAAAAAATCACTGCCTTTCTCTTCATCTAGTATCCTATCTACTAGTGCACTTTACACAGTATTACACACTCACATCCCTCAGCTCTGTGTTTCACACTGTTCCCTCTTACCTAGCCTACCAGTCTTCTCTGATGGGGAAGTACTTCTCATCTTCCAAGACTCAACTTTTTTGAAACATTCCCTTAACCCTTTGTGCTCCCTTATCATTCTTACGCCAAGTACAATTGGTAGCTACTAGCTGTATGACATTTTCCATTACTAGCTTAGAAGTTTATTCACATGTCTGTATATCCATGTACATCCAATATATATTTAATACGTCTTATCCCACCCACAAAACACAGCAACAATCAAAACTACTTATCAAAACCACCACTAAATCACGTATTTTTAACTTTTGTTTAGCCCCATCTTTATAGTCTTTTCAGAATGAGCTTCTTTTTTTGAGGGGGGGGGCTGTAAAATTATGCAAAAGGAATAAAATTCTTAAAACCTAACCACTAAAACTGCTTAATTTCCATCTTAAGGAAAAGAGAACTTAGTAACTAATAAGATAACAGAACACTCACCTTAGCTAATAAAACATGTATTATTCCTGAAATTCAGCAGAAATAGTAAGTGTTAACAATGAAAGTAGATACTTACAGTGTTTTCACTACACCAGGCAGTGCTGCAAGCATTCTACATTAGCTATTAACTAGGTTAAGCCTCATGAAAACAACGATGGGTATGGAATGTCATTTTGCCTGACTGTGCAAATGTGGAAAAGTACAGTAACTTGCTCCAGTTCATATAGCTGATATAGATGAGAAACAAACCCTGGCAGTCCCGCTCAAGAATCCATGCTCTCGAATAACCACCTTGTACTTTTTCTTAGAGTTCTGAGTAATTAAATCAATCTTCATCTACAAATTAAAAGATCCCCCCATCCAACAACCTGCACTAAAACGTGAAGTTTAAAAGAGTACAATTCTGCAGTAATCATCTGGGGTTATTCGTTTGATTTCCTATAATGAGTAAGCTGTCCTTACCTTGTAATCCACTTTTATCCAAAAAATTGCTTAAGTTAAACAATGTGTTTCTTGAAGCCAAATACTGAATAAAACGCTGGAGAAAAAAAATACATCAAATTAAAGTATTACCGTCTCATGAATTCTAACTTGAAAATTAGTAGGCACACTACACTGTCGTTAGTTTAAATTTCTCATTTCTATTGTCTACTAAACCTAAAAACATAACACATTTTTTTACTAGTATATAGGAATTAAAGCCTAATGCCCGAAGTTATTAAAAGTATTAAAGTTAAAATAATAAAGTAGGCAGTTTTAAACTAGAGCTAGTAATTTTGCTTTTACTACACAGCAGTGGGGGTGAACCTATCTATGGCATGTGTCCTGCAGGAAAGTGCTAAATGGTTCACCATAACTGCTATAGAGTATTAGTACTACAGCCAATCATATGCAGATCTCATCTGTATTGTTGTTTGGTTTGTTTGTTGTTTGTTTGTTTGACACACGGTCTTGCTATGTTGGCCAGGCTTTTTCAAACTCCTAGGCTCAAAGGTTTCTCCTACCTTAGCTTCTCAACTAGGTGGTACTACAGACATATGCTACTATCCTTGGCTAGCATCTATAAACAGCTACCTGATGTGCCAAATTTTTATGACTTTTTAAAAAACTAATCATACCAGAGAACTATATTATAAAGACACTCTTACTGCCTAGATTAAACACAATTAACTATTCACTTTAAATCCTGTTATAGAATTAAAATACTGTCTCATTATACATGCCACTGAATAGACCCTTCAATCTCACTCCCCTTCCTCCCTCTTCAGAATTATTTTTCTGGTTTCCATACATTTTTTCACAATTTTATCACATGTGTAAATATTTGTAAGTCGTTTTGTTTTGTAGTTTAAATATATTATACTTATTCTTTTGCAATGTATTTTTAAATTCAATTTTTCCCCAAGCATTATCCACTTAGTATATGTAGATCTAGTTCATTCATTTTAAATGTTCTAGTATTCTAGTGAATAAATAATTATGTTTCCATTTCTTTCTTTAGGGATTTTAAAATTGTTTTCAGTTTTTATGATTACTAACAATGCTGCGATGACATTGTTTAACTTGGTCTTCATGTACAAATACTGAAGTGTTTCTCAGTATATATATAATTAAGGCTGAACTAGGTCAGTATGCATGTACAAGTTCATCTTTTCAAAATACTGTCAAAATGCTCTCCAAAGTCCTCACTATAGTACATTTCCTTAACTTTCCTTTATATTTAACCTCTGAAATAGTTTAATAAGTGCCTTTCAAATTCATTTCACCTTAAGACTCCCTTTCTTTTTTCTTTTTAATACATTCAGAGGTTTACTATCAACTAACATGTATACCACCATGACTCAGATATTATTCACCGAAGGCCACCTCAAATTCACAAAACCAGGATTTTGAAGAACAACTTGTACACTGAAAACTCATGTTTCATCATTATCCTAAAACAAGCTCTCTCCAAAAAAGCATTAAAATATCCTGAGGCACTCTCAGTATGATTTTCTTGTACACTGATAATACTCTTCCTAAGCTCTGTGTTCTAGAAATAAACATGTTGTACTCTATCTGGCCATTTCATCCATGTCTTTAGGGATACGGGATATAACTTTTCTTAATCCCTTCTATATTTATTACAGTATTTAGTTGCAAAGATGTGGTTTTAATCAAGTTTTGATTATGTTTCTAACAACATCCCAGTGATGCTCAAAATGATACAGTATTAAACACCATGCCACCAATCTGGTGAACGGTTCACAGGTTCTCATTTTACATTATACAAGATAATTTGGAATGTATCATCATAGGATAGCAAAATATTTTTTTCTTCCCATAGTTTTTCTTTCACATTTATAGGAAGAGAAAGTTAAGAGGATTAAGTTTAAAAACTTGCAAAAATGAAAAAAAAAAATGCATGCACACAGCAAGACACAAATAAGACTTGGCATGATCTTCCTGCCTCCAAATGGCAAAATACTGATAAATGTTGAAGCTAGGTAACAGGTACACAGGCATTTACTTCACTATTCTATAGGGTATGTTTGAAATTTTTCATAATAAAATGAAACAGATACACAGGCATTTACTTGAGGTACACAGGCATTAACTTCACTATTCTATAGGATATGCTTGAAATTTTTCATAATAAAATATTTAATGCTCTATACTTCCCTTTCTGAAATTTCATCTACAAATTTTTCTGCATTTTCATTTATTAATCATCTACAATTTATGCTGTAATAGGTGCCTTGGTCAGTAGCTCACATTAAGGTATGATCATAATATTGATGAGAAACCTAGTGCTCACAGAAGTATCTTGTCCAAGTCATCCAGTTCGTAAAGGGAAAATGGGATAAAGGTAGTCCATTCAGCCTTAACTTTTTGAGATTTTCTCCGTGGCCATGTTTCTTAACCTTAGCACATTACCAATGCTTATCATAGAAAGAAAATTCTTTATTGTTGAGAACTGCATTCTAAGATGTTTAGGTTGGACCCTACCTATTAGATACTAGTATCCTACCCAGTTGTGACAATATATTGTCTAAAGGAAGAAAAAACTACTTTTCTTCATACAGTTTAAGAATTACTGTTGTATGGTCTTCTCATCCCCACAGCATAGCTGAGACCCTATGCATGCCCTTCCACAAGCTAATCACATCTGCTAAGGAGAAAATTTAAAAGAGTTGTATAAGTTAGTATAAAAATAAGCATAGCGAGGGACATACCTTAGCTTAAGGCAAACTATACATGAAGTTATCTCAAAAAAAAAACACAAAGAAATGTTCTACCTAAGTAGGTCAACTATATGGAATGGCAGTCAACTATGTTTTGCTTTATCAACAGTTTGTCTCCAGTACCATCACCTTATTCATAACTTCTGAAAGCTAGTACTAAATATTTCTAATCTAGCATTGTAGTTAGTTATATTTGTGGATTTTTTTCTTTTTAAAGAATAAACTGTCCCCCCCACAAAGAAAAATACATACAAGCCTGAAATTCTTCAGAATAAATGATCACAATCCTAAGTAAATACACTTTTTGTAACAGTAGAAACTATCATCCTAGTTAAGAGACCAACTGTTTTGAGTTACATTTCAGCTACTGGAGTCCAGCTTTTCTACTGGCTCAAAATTGGTTAAATTGGTATAATGAATTGAAAAGCTACTGAATAACATATGCCCTGAAAATAGTGATGTCTGTTGATTTAGTAATCACATTTCAGGGAACACTCCTGTAAATTATTTTAATAATTAAAAGCTACTAATAAAATCATTCTATGTGGTATTACAATATTGAAGAATTATAAAACAATTTTCAACACATAATTAAGAAAATTATGAAACATAAAATTATGTAAAGCTAAAGCTCAAAGTAACAAAGTAAAGGGATGGATGTCAGAAAAGTCTATACTTGGTAATCTAACACCAACAACTAACATCCCTGGTTTCTATGACAGGATTACATTTTCCTAAGGCACATACCAACATGGATTTAGCTAGTCTAGGTTAAGAACCAAAAAATTAGCCTGTATACTATCAAGGAAAATAAGACGGTTCTCTTCAAACAGAAAACAGTAAAAACTTAGTTTATGTCTTATTTTCTACACTTTTGAACAACGAAGACTTTAGACACACCTCTGATAAAGAAGGCATTCTTCAGTCTCTCTCAGCAAAATGCCATCTTAATTTTAACCTCATAAACTTGAACTAGGTGAAGTATTTCCACAGACAACCATATGAGATCAGACAGAAATCTGCGCTACAATTAAAAAACAGGTGATATAGACAAAAATATGCAGTCTATAACTGAAGACAGCAAAGATCAGTGCTGTTTTTGAAAACCACTTCTTGAAATTATCTTTGTTTTTTTATCTCATTATTGAAAGTTTCTTTTTCTAGTTTACAGGCCATCTTTCCTCAAATGGCAGGACCTACAAGTATATTTCTAGCTAAGCGCCTTGCTCTTTTTATCTACATTATTCATTTGCTGAAATTGGTGTTCAAGTTTCATTGAGAAAAGCAAGTTAAATCATCAGTCACCATTCCAGTACTTCTGTTAATCAAAAATTCTTACCTCATTTCCATACACCATCAAATGATGAGTTGTAATGAGAGATTTGAAGACCACCACCCAACTACTGTTAGTAGTTCTTTCAAATAAACTGTCCGCCAACTGCGGGATGTTCACATTCATCTCATTCGTGCACTGAATTAAGTCTGTAACAAAAAATTTTAAGATTAGTTTACTCTCTGGTTTTAATTTATTGTTAAAGCCAATTCTGCATACTAACAAGACAAATCTAAAGAAGTGGAGCAACAACAGTTTGGAGAATTTGTTAAAAATCTTTAGGACAGCAATTGAACATATCAATAAGTAAGCACTAATTAGGACTCATAAATGATCAATAATACCAGAAAGTAAGTCAAACTCCCTTATGGTGCAGTGTGCCTTCAAGTGCTTTATTCACCTCAAAAGGAAGTGCTTCAAAGCTTCAAGGAACATTTAATTCTCTTACTACTCAGGGATCTGAAGAGTTACAATACTGGTATTATTCATTCTTTTAAAATTAAATTATATTTAAAATTCTTTTAAAAATACTTTTGAAGACATCATTCATATAGAAGCATGAGCAAGCTAAAGGTCAACTACCTTTACTAATGCTTGCCCTAGACTGCTGTGTTTGCACTATCAGATAAAAGCAGAGATTTGGTCTATGATTGGGTTAGAATCTGACTGCTTAGATTAAATATTTCTCAGTCTTTTCAGCTTGGCTGAGCAGGCTTAGGTATCAGTCAATATTAACTAGCTAATGCTAATAAAACGGAAAATTGGGGTTTCTTACTATATGAACTTCCAAATCAGAAATATCTCAGAAACTATTATTATTACTTTGATGTTAAAACAACAGAACTTCTAATTTTGTATTTCAAAATCAAAAGCATTACACTATAAAGTAGTACAATTCTGTTTCAATGCCAAAACTAATTTTTAAAAGTTAATAGGCCTCACAGAGTATTTTATACAATCTGCTTAAATTATATCATTGGCACATTCAATGCAGGAAATACAAAATATAATCCAATTTAGAAAAATAATAGAGGGAAAGCCCAGGAAATTAACTGCCTTACTTTTAAAATACGTGTGAAATATATCTCAGATAACCAGCAAAGAGAAAAATATTTAAGTTATTCATGATTTAACAAATAATTTGCCCATTTTAAATTTTTAGTTCATAATGATTAACTATGAATTCAAATGAACTAACTTGACTTGAAATGACAATGTAACATTTTTTTGCTTACAATCCTCCAAACTATTTGTTTTAGTAGGACTAATTATACCAAGTAGCATTTGCTGAACAAACACATTTAGGTAAACAACTACCCTTTTTAAGCCAACAGGGCTTAAAAAACAAAGCACACAATAGTCAGAGTACCTACAGAACAGCAGAATGAAATAGTAAATTCAAGTTCAGTGTGCAGATTCAGCCTCTGAGAGTAAAAATTTGATTTCTGCTTTCTGAATCTTCATAGTACTTCATACTCATCCTCTGGTTCTGAATATACTGCACTTGCCTTATTTCATATATAACCTACTGAAGGTAAAGTCCTCTTGTTTTGCTCATGTTTTAATGTTTTAAAATTTCAGCATGGTAGTCAAAGTTCTGACTTGATTTGTTTTGTAATTATAAGAAGCTATATTTCTAGCTTCTCTCTTCCCCCCATTTTTAGCTTTACCTAGGTTTTTCTATATTCTTCCACAAAATATGATAAACATGGTATCGAGTAATTTTATTCCTCAGAATCTTGTCTTTGGTTTACAAAATTAAACTTGTTATAAAATTTGTCACAATACTGCCCACAGGAGCTCCTGCCTCTATTCATGCATCCCTCAGATCCGGTCAGTAACCACAAGTTTCTGCTTCCACCTGCTAACCTGTCCAAAAACCTACTTTCTTCTCTTCATTCCATCATAAATGCCAAAGTCAAAATTTAGATCCTATTTATTTAACTAGGGAATAGGTGTGACCTATCCCAGAGGCATTAGGAAATTTGGGAGGGGGAATTAGCACAGTCTGATGGGTTTTATTAGCATTAGTAGCAATGAAGGAGGTCAATTATTCTGCAATCCACAACCATTACTGCAGAATTAAGACTGCCCCCAACGGAAAACATTGATCTAATGGGCCTTCTCTCACTTCTGATTACATGATTTGGGGTCTCACCCATCCCACTTCGCCTATCAGTCTCAAAACTGGCCAGGGAACGATCAGTTTTGAGACTGACGGGCGAAGTGGGATGGGTGAGACCCCAAAGTGGAACATCTGCTTTCTTCACTTCAGACATTGTTAGAGGAACATATTAAGTGAGGGCATTTTGTTTGTATGGTAGGATTTGGTCCTTTCCATTTTCTGTTGGAAAAGTGCTTTTTCATTGTTATGGTAAGCGTGTTTTCTTCTTGCTCTTTAATATTAGACAATCTAATTATTTGAATCCTACATGCATGTGGTCCTTATTTTTTTGAGTATGGGATTTGTTAATGAAATATTCAAGAAAGTAGTGCACTTCTTAAGTTCTCAAGGTAATATAAGAAAATGTGTTTTGGAATCTTTTTGATTGGTACGGAAAATTGTTACTTAGTTTTGCTTTCTAAGAAATAGTTATCTTCTGGATTGAGTGTGGGACAGCAGTGCCTGTTGAGATTCCCTTGGTGTTTTTATGACTTGGTTGAGCAAGATGCTTTTGGTTAGTCATGTGGGCAAACATTTTCCTTCTGAGTTGTTGAGCTCCAACTTGCAAAGATTTTTAAGTTACTATTATAGTAGAAACATTGTACAGAAAAAAATTAATGCATAGAGAAAATGATTGGTTGAATTAAGGTAGATCTTTCTATCCAATATAAAGCAAACTTTAAACTAATTAAAAATAGTAAGAAAAATAGCAGAAACACGAAGGTGTTTTTGTATTAAAGGAAAATTTTCCAGCAAAGTACAAAACAGACCTGTTACCAGATACTTTGCTAACCTTATGACCATATTCCAAGTGCAGGCTGCTAGCCTCTACAGACCTCCCTAGACCGACTTCAGACAACTCAATTAGGATGCTCTGAGGTTTACTTCTACAGCATGTCAGGCAATCCAACTAGTGCCACGCACCAAAAAAAAGAGTTCTTAAATTCCCAGGAAAACAGGCATTGACTAGGCTATATCAAAACGGTGGCGATACCAAAGTCAGATTTTCTAGTACATGAGCATGGCTAAAAAACAGTATTAATATTTTTAGAAGTACAATATCTTATAATCATTTAGCCAAATGTGATTCTCTCTTTCAAAAAGGTCTTTCTGAAAAATAATCTTCCTGTTTCCTTTTCATTGTTATTTACTTTATTTGTTTGTTTATTTACTGGGGCTGGGAATCAAACCCACAGCCTCACACAGGCTGAACAAGCACTCTAAAACCGAGCTATGCTGGGCGTGGTGGTGCACACCTGTTACCCCAGCACTCAGGAGGATGAGGCAGGAGGATCGTTGTGAGCTAGAGACCAGCCTGGGCTACAAAGTGAGCTCAAGGCCAGCCTGAACTACATAGTGAGACTCTGCCTCAAAGAAGACAAAAATAAATAAATAAATAAATAAATAAATAAATAAAATAAAACTGAGTTATATCCGCAAGCCCCCAAATTAACCTATTTGCAATTGCCTTAACAAGACATATCCCAAACCCTAAAATAAAAATGAATTTTTTGTAACTGCCACAATCAATCTCAGTAACAGACTTAATTTCTTCATTTTGGAAAATTGGAGATACACTATATTTGGAAAGGAAATTAAGTAGTTAATCAAGTGTCACTTTCTGATGAAATCTGAAATTTTATCAGTAGGAGTACAAAAAAAAGAGGAAATATTCACTGAGAAATAGTAATGTTAAGATACAAAAACAGTTTCTGAGATTTTCACGCAAAGTATCAGAACATTTCTTCATATAGCAAAATTAGAAAATAGCCAAGTTGAAACCAGGTTTAAGTCAAAACAAATTACACACACTAAGGCACACTTATGCCAGTCTTAAGGACCAAGTGCCTGAGAAATGCAATAAACACTTTTATTTCTTACTCCACGAAGTATGGTACAAATTAAGATGTACTGCTCCTTTGTTATCTTTAAAGTCTGTGTAGTTCCCTATAAGAACACAGTACTATAATTTTATTTCCATTAGAATTAACTGAAGAACATCTTCTTCAGACTGATTTATACCTTGAGAAATAAATCTAAACAGCATGCTGATTAGATTTTAGGTAATAACTGGGTAACAGTTATGCTTAAAGATTGCCTATAAAATGCTCAATAGGAATGACAGGAACATAGAAAATTGGGAGACAGGAATAAAGAGGGCATTCAGAGTACTAGAAAGACAAGATGTCAAGATAGATTTCAAAAAACAGTGTAGAGCTAAGGGACATAAATGACAATTTACTGTAAATGGACATATCCAATACCGGAGAATGTTAATTCAATGGCAGTACCATCTCACTATGGAATACTATGAACCAAACAAATACAGCAAAATGTCCACCATATATTAATTTAAAAACTACAATAAAGAAAAAATACAGTTAAGATTTGATTTTTTAAATAACATATTTAAAATGAAATACTAAGATACTCATGCAGTGATACAAACAGAAAACTTCCCAAACTACTCAGCAAGTAAACAGCACACGAAGTTAGCCAAAACCAATTTTAAAAGGAACTATATTCTTATTTCTGTAATTTTATGAATCTCTGTATGCACCCCTCATGTCATACAATACATATCAGGTCTGTATTATAATTCATCCCAGACCCTTGGGAGCATATCATGATTCATGGCAGAAAGGACAAGCATGACACATTCCTTTATTTCCTCAAGAATATGAGGGAAAGGTGAGACAAGAAAACATGAGGTACATGCTATCAACAGCTGAGTATCTGGCAGACACTACTCCAGAAGTCTAGTAGTATTTTGAACACATGTTCAATTTCTCAACATGATAAATGAATCTCCAGCTGGGTGTGACACCGGTAATCCCAGCACTTGGAAGGCTGAGGCAGAAGGACTGTCATGTGAGTTTGAGGTCAACCTGGACTACAGAGCAAGAGCTCATCTCAAAAACCTGGAAAAAAAAAAAAAAAAAAGAATCTCCAGACCCCACAATGAATGTGTAAGGTAAAGTCCTA